CCCCCCCACCCCCCTCCCCGGCCGCTGTACTCACGAAGCCGTTGCCCATCACGCGGCAGAGCCCCTTGAGAGAGTCGCAGTCTCTGTTGGTGAAGTGGAACTGAGCCAGCTGGGAGTTGCGGAACAGGGGGCCCAGGGTGGTCTGCGGGCAACAACGGGGCCTCTGGGTCACTGCCGGGGGGCAGGGGGCTGCGGGGAGCGGGCCGCGGGGGGCCGGAGGCGGGTCTTACCAGCAGCTGCTGCGGGATGAGCTGCATGATCAGCTTCTGGGGCCACTGGTCGGTCTCCCTGCAGGGGGCGGAGGTCAGGGGAGGCCCCGCCGTCCCCCACGCGCCCACCCCCCACGCGCCCACCGCTACTCACAGGTTCTCGCCCTGGTTCACGTAGGCCTGGCAGGGGAGGGCCCGCTTCAGCTTTGCCGTGGAGTCGGAGTAGGGTCTGCGCTTCTGTCGCGGGAGCGGGAGGGGTCACTGGACACAACTGAGATGCCCTGGCCTGCCCCACCCGCAGGGCCAGCCCCCAGCCCCCACGGGGACTCACAAGGGGACTGGCCACAGCTCACCTCCTGCCACTCAAGGACGCCACTCCAGGCCAGCAGCTTGTTGCTGAGCCGGTGCTCGCCTACAGCCAGGCCCCCGAGGGCGAGCCCAGGCGAGGAGGGCCCGATGGGACCCAAGGCGCCAAAGACCCGAGCACCTTGCTGTAGCAGAGGGGAGCGGGGAAACTGAGGCTGAGGGACCCGCAAGGGCAGGCTGTCCCCTCCCAACATACATCCCAACGTTCGGACTCAAATCCCCTGCTCAGAAACTCCTGGGACCACATCCACACCCCCTGTCCCAGGGGCTAAGACCTCAAGTAGCTGACCTCCACGTCCTTTTCCTGCCACTACTCCAGAACCCGAGCCCCCCAGATCCCACTTGTCACTTCAACACTGGTCCCCATCACCCTCCAGACCTTGCTCCAGCTGCGCTCTTGGCCTGGAATGCCATCCCACCCCCCTTCAGGAGATGCCATCCACTCACGCCCCTGACCTGAGCAATCTTGGTCCCTCTGTCCCAACCCAACTCAGAAACCAGCTCTCTGGGGGCCCAGGGTCTCCTCGAAGCTCCTACAAGGCACAGGCCAGCTCGGACTGTGACTGGCTGCCTGGCACACTGGTTTGCCCCAACGCGCCCATGCTCAAAATTCTTCTAAAGCTCCGCATGGCCCTCAAGAGGAAGTCTGGACCCTCCCCCTCTAGCTCCCTCCAACCCTTCCAGGTGGTCACAGGCCTTCCTGCCCTTGCAGACCTCATGTTGCAACCACACCAGGGTGACCTCGGGGTGGAGAAGGTAAAGCGAAGCAAACAGAACCATCCAGGGAAGCAGGGAGACTTTTGCAACAGGGAGTGTAACACCTGGAGGGATCTCAAACACAACATCTCGAGAGCGTTTGCAGAACACCGGAAGAACGTTCCAGCAATAAAGCCAAGGAAAGCTCCACATTCTACTCTTCACAGGGCACTCTAACAGCTATCTTTAAAAAAAAAAAAAAAAAAAAAAACCAGAAACATCTCAAAGCAAACAAGGGAAGGCTTTGGAACAAGCTGGCACCAAGAAACCCCTGAAAACCTCACTCCTAAATGCTTCCAAGCAGCAAAAGAAACTGTAACAGTTGTTACTTTTCATCTTACTACTAATGGGTATCCTCTGCATTTCCTATAAAGCACACAGATGTCTTTTGTCCCAGAAAGACAGGCAAGAAAAGTTGTATTTTGTGAGGGCTTGAAAAGTAAAAAAAAAACCCAAAAAAACAAAAAACGTGAACCAGCACGTCCTCCATCTGGGCAGGTGATTCTGGAATTTGGGCAATGGTATCAGGAAGAAAACCAGAGAGCATCTTGCTGTAGGAACGTGTTGGTAGGCGTTCAGGGCCAGACTGTGTCTGAGATGCAGGATGGGCGTTGAAGCCCTGGGTTTGTAGGTGCCACAGGTGGGGCATAGAACATCTGAGAAGAGGTACTTAGAGCACACAGCTGAAAGGCCTTTACAGATCCCGGTGAATGCGCTTAAGGATCCAGCACAACGTAAACTGCAGGCACATGTGTTTTAAAGACTGCTTTGTCTGGGAGGGCAAGCTGACCATGCAGGACCTGAAAGATGTTTCGGTCTAAAATGTAAAGATCAGTAACGCTTATCTAAAAGCTCAGGTCTACCTGCAACAACAAGGCGGGCACATCAAAGTGGAGGACTGCGGTGAGGGACTAGGCTTAAGGGCAATCCTAAAGGAAATCTCCCAGCTGGGCAAGTGTGTGCAAAATTTGGCTGTGCCTCTGACATGTGAACTGTTTACTACACAGGGAAGCCTGTTTCCTTAGGATGCACGTTTAAAGACCCAGGAAACGCTTCTGAACTACACGTGACTGCTGAACTAGAGGGGTGAGCCAGTGGAGCAAAGAAGTATGTGTAAGTTTTGGGAGGTCTTTAGAAACTTGGTATCTAAGTTTAAGATACGAGGAAGCCTGTCTAAGGCTTGTGTGGGGCTGCCCCAGCTGCATGCCATGCACAGGACGGGGCAGTGTACGAAAGAAGCGAACTCCAGAGCCAGCCTAGGGCAAAACGCACATCTGGGCAAGCGTGAAACGTCAGGATGTGCAGTTTTACTATTCTAGGTACGCCTGAACATTTTTGCGTGCGTATTTTGGGTCCGGGGAAGTGTGTGTAGTTAATGTACCTGCAAAGCCAGATGTTTACGTTTGGGCTTGTTGCACTCCGTAAGTGCATCCCACATCTGGGCGGGCGTGCAATCCTCGGCGCGCGGGCCCGGAGAAGAACACCCCCAGGCGCAACACCTGAGCACGCGAGTGCAAAGACGCGGGCCCCTCTCGCCGCGGCCCCGCAGCCCCCTCCCCCATTTCCAGATTTCCTGCCCGAAGAGAGACCCAACTTTCCAATTGGAAAAACAAGCGTGCACGGCGCCCGCCCGCCCCCCACCCCGCGTTCAAATCGGGACGCGGAGTCAGCAGTAATTTGAGCCCTCCCCGCCCCCGTACCCCACCCCCGCCACCCCAGCCCAAACGCGCAACAAAGGGAAGAGCCCGGCGCATACCACCCGGGGGGTCTCCACAGGGGAACCCGGCTCCAAACGGAGACCCCAGAGAGGAGGGGGCCGTGGACAAAGACCCGAGCCCGGGGGAGGGGCCGGCGGGGGCGGGGCCGTGGAAGGCT